GAGCCTCACCACATTACTAGAAAAGCACCTAACATAAAGCTGCTCCAGAGAAACAATGCAGGCTGCGCTGTATTGCTCATGGTCACAGCACTGTTCCCTTAAAAACATAGACAAAGACAACGTAAGAGCATGCAGACAAGCACAACTCAAGGGCATCTCGAGCCTTTGTTTCAAAAATGCTGAGACCCTGCTGGAAATGAGGGCAATGGCATGGATTTATCCCCACGGTAGAGGTGCCAGTGCAGGCAGTGGTCCTGGCATTCCAGTCAGCTCTCCAGTAAGAGCTCTTCAGAAGTCAGATCCTTCAGTCTTCTCCACGACTCAGTTTTGAGAAAGGTTTTCCTGAGAGCAGAGGGACTGGCGCTCCTCTCACACACTAGCTGCCCACGCCTTACCTCTTTCTGCAATGCAGGGTCTCCGCAGCAGTATTTCCAGGAGAGAAGGCAGCTAGAGTTGGCAGCAAGGAAGTAAGAATGGATTCCCAGCGGTCACAAACACATTAACAGTCTGGGGCACATCCAAAGCCCGTGGGAATGGAGAAATGGAAGAAACATGTCACTTTGCCCATAGGTGAGCTCACATACAAGGCAGGACTTTAAGTACCATTAAAAACGGATGAGTTCTCAGGAAGGACTAATGCTAAGACGACTCCAACTACAACCTTAGTGTGAAATCCAGTCCAGCCTAGCAATGAAGACACACTAAATGCATAGTAGTCAAACTTTTTTTTTCTTTTTTATTTAAAATATCATTATAACCAATTGACATACTAGATAACAATGTATACATTCCAGTGGTGCACATGTAATGACCTATGGCATGAATGAGTAAAAAAAACCCCACAATGTTCTCAGTAATGCCCCACCAACAGCTTATTTGGAGGGAATAAAGGAAAAGCAGGAAAAGGTATCAAATGTGGGGAAGAAAAAAAAAAATTAGAGTTTTCCCCACTATTTTTAATGGTGTATCTTCCCCTTCATATTTCTTGGGACAAAATAAAATTAGGAATATACTTCAAAAGGGGCAGAAGGAATGATCACAATAATTAGGGTTTTTTTCTCAACTTTAGTAATAAAAGTTAAAGAACTCTCAAAAATAGACTAGATATTGGGCCTACAAAAGTAATTCATCTGTATGCAAAGCTTACCAAGAATTATTCCTTTTGTAAAATGTAAAGGATGAGCTGACATTACGTTTTTACCTACAAAACCAGACTACAATAATAAAATCACCAATTTACAGCTAACACAATATTCTAGATGTACATTATTGTACACAAGCTATATAATACACATGAACATCTTACGTGAAATATATAAGAAACATACTGATATTGTCTCAACATTGGCCAATAGGTTTATTTTTCTAAAGGACGTGTATTTTTCTATTCACATTCAGTGTAGTTCCAATAGCAAGGGTTAGGTTTGCTTACTTAAGAAACATAGAAAGTTTGTGTGAGGTAGTTCAAGAAAACCTAGCTTAAATTTTTAACTGCGGAAGTAGAAACACAATGTGATCTGATTCATAACACATTTCTGTAATGCAGAGATAGCTAAAGAAGAGAAGGGAGTGAAAGAGATCACTTAAAATACCACTTTTATCCAGTGCCGTTAACTAAGAATAAATTAAATGAATTGAAAATTTGGGTAGGCAGTAGAGTCTGATCACATTTCTTCATTAAAACCCTCTTTCTCATACTACTGAAAAATGCAGACAGCTCTCCAACTCCAGTCCTCAAACTAAATATGTAAGAACCAAAACAATGATAGGAAAGTAAGATGTCACAGCACAGACAAGCCACAGCAAATAAAAACATACCTAGAAACAGTAGTTCACTTCCTTTAGCAACCTGAAACAGTACGTCAAAGTCTGTAAGATGAACCACCTTCTCCCCTTTCACCATAACCTTAACTGAGAAACATTTAACGTCATATGCTTTGGATTACTGGCTGGGTAGGAACTATCCTCCTGTACTAGCTTTTGGATCATTCTTCTTTATGCAACGTTGAGATGAATGCCATATATGTTAACACAGGGCATTATACTCATGAAAACGCTTCTCAAGGTGCTTAATTTTTGCTCTCGAACAAAATAGGCTGTGTTCAGAGAAGCAATTTTCCATAAAACAAACCCACATCAGTAACACTCTACTTACTTGGCCACATAGGCAGCAGAGGGTGCTGTTGCTACAGCCACCTCAGACGCAGCTTACCCTATCCTCCCCTGCCCTAAATTCACACCCGGGTGTTAACAACGCCCAGTTTATGCTGACATTATCTTTGTATCTAGCTGGAATTCCTATCCAGAAAGGATATAGCATCGTAGGGGTCTTCAAAACGAAAAACCCAAGCCGCACAGCACCTACAGAGGGAGAAGGTGCCATGTCTGTTCAGCTTAGCAGAAGGAATGCAACAGAGGTGACCCGGTCAGCCAGGCTGGTCTAAGGTTGTTCAGCTGATGGGTATTGCTCTGGTGGTACAGCTTCTCACACACACTAACACACAAACCCCTCAATTCTGAACCCACTGTCTCGCATCAACAGAAGATGTCACAAAGCACAGGCGCAGCACACAGTAACAGTATCACACCTCCCCCCCCACCAACTTGTACTTCAAATTCTTGAAGAACCTACTTCTACAAAAGGAGAGGAGCTATTTTATCCTTGATGCCTGCCACAGCTCTGACCAAAGAAATTAAACTTGTTATTACTGCCCAACTTTTAACCTCACCTGACATAAGAAATCAGACAAGCTCACAGTAATTCAACCCCTACTAACTCCCAATGGATGGGAACGGCCCTGGAAGAGGAAAGTTGCATGCACTTTAGTGAAGCCTGTTGTCATAAGAAGATTTTTGGAATCATAGACTTAAAACAAAGCTTAACAATACTTTAAGAATAAAATTGTACAGTGTATTAGATAGTATATGATCTAATATCATAACGATAGACAAAACAGCTAAACTCCAGCTACCCATTTGTTTGCCATCTGTGGCAGTGTACAGCTACCTCTGAAATAATTTTCTATTTCAACAAATAAAAAGGGAAGTTAATACTAGCATGTTGGTGTGATAATCTGCTTACTGAATCTGATTTTCTTGTCTTTGAAATTTGCCATCACTTTAATTTGCCTCAAATGCAAGCAACTGAAAAATAAAAAAAAGCAACACTGCTATAAAGATGGTGCCAAAAGTGAACTCTACGTTCCCCTAGGCAAAGCTCTGCCCTTACTGAAATAATCCCTTTAAACAGCTCACACTGCAATGTGTTGCAGTGGACAGTCCCAGCCATTAACCCCACCTTAAAAGAAGAAAAGCTCAATTCTCCTCAGAGCTTATGAGCTCAGTGAAGTTACTATTGATAGCACACTGCCATAAAAGCCTAGTAACTGTTTCACTGAATATTCATTTAAAAGCAATTTTTCTTTAGGACACAGGAAAGTGATAGCAAAAATTATTTTAAAATTTCAAAATACTTCAATCACCACTGCAATCCAGAGGGGTCCAAAATAAATTTAAATAGGAATTACATTAACTGAATTCTGGTCTTAACAGCACTTACAGGCATCAGGAGTTGATTTTGTCAGTCTGAACTTCATTACATTGGGTTGATGAGAATATCATTTGATCCTATGTATCAATGGAGTACTGCTGTATGACCAAAAATTTTGGCTTTATTCACAGCTTCAACTTCGATAAAAAAATTACAAAACAGACTGTTCTGTTGGTCTCTGTTCAACTTGAGCAGATTTTTTATATTCCAGTGCTAGATGAATCCAAACATGTCCTGCCTACTCTGAGGTAATACACAATTTGGCAGGATCCTGTAAAAATAATTGCCTTAAGAAATGTGGTTTAGAAAGGCAATATTGAAATATTAGATACAAGCGAGGAAAGCAAAATTACACGTACACGGCACTTACCAGCAGTCTAGCCAGGCCAGGAAAACAACTGTGCAGTTTACCAATTTAGTCATCTTTGAGACACTACCGCTCCTTGTAACCCTGTATGTTTTTTAAAAAGACATGTTAGCTACTGAAAACATCACCATCACTTCTGTTTTTCTGAACCTTACTGCAAAGACAAATTTTCCTCTTTCAATTAGAACTTCAGAAAAAGATCTACTTAACCCAACAAGCAGAAGAAACCACACTAAAGAGCATCAGTCATTCCTGGATGACCTCTGTAGCCAGTTACATTATTTGCTTATGCTCTGCGCCTGGCAAGACTTCGGTGCTTTTTTATGCTCATTTTTGTGAGCATTACTAATTTAAATTCTTCTTCACATTCTAATTCACTACACGAAATACGTATCTACACAAGGCAATCAATTATACAGCCTAGCTTCACTAAAAAAAAAATCTGCATTTTCCAAAGGAATAAATTCTGAATGATTAACTCATACATAAACTTAAGTCAGTTATACATAAATCATTCTGTAAATACAAAATGTAAACAGTTAAAATACTTCTGTGAGGAGCAGCACCATTTTACAGGACTATTTAGTAACTGTTCTATATATTTCAATATATCTTTTGTTTAAAAAGTGTATTGAAACCTGGAGCTTCAGTGCCAAAAACTACTGAATATTTATGACTTAAAATGAACCATTATTAAGATTTCTGCTACACTGGTCTCATGGTGAAATGAAAGAGATAAATATTAATTCATACAGCACTACTTCTCCCTCCTTTGGATGGCATATATTGCTCACTTAATGCATTAGCTACAGAAATCCTGAGGTTCTCCTACCACTTAATGGTTTTTAGCGATCAGTTACTTTTGGTGGAGAAAGAATAGCTGAAATTTTGCCCCTATTGCATTCATGTCATTCCCTCTTCTACCCAAAAAGCACTCGCCTTAGTAGACAAAACTAGTAAGAAACAAAATTCCCAAGAATCACGAATTACATGAGTACAGCTACAGCATATTCATTTTCCCTCTTGGCAGTCTAGACATCCTGGATACACTTCGTTTTGTGTGTACAAAAACAGGCTACAAGCTAGAAGTAAACAGTTTATTTGCATTGCAATGTATTATTCATGAAGTATCCTCATGTTTTATGGTGATCACAAAATTCAGCATGCCACAACTCTGCAGAAAATATCACGTTACTTTGTTAGGCTAGATATTTCTGCAGCTTTGAAGATACACTTTGCTTTCTGAGGTTCATAAAACCATTCAGATGAGGTTACTTTGCAAAGGATTGTATACTGTTTCTCTAAAAAAATTCATTAATTGTTGCTTTTGCTGAAGTATTACAGGCAAGTGGCCAAAAGAAAAGAGGATTTTGTTCACCACCAGCACTGCAGTAGTATGCCCAAAACTACAGCTGGCTGCACTGAATTCTCTTCCCCTCCACCTGGACACAGACATATGACCAAGCATAAAACTTTGAAGGATATCATGAACAAAACATCTGGAATAAATTCTAATTAAAAAATTGAAATCCTATAAAATCTTAAATAATTCATTATATGGTAATGACCACAACATTAATATGTGCTTTGATAAAACAAATCTTACAAATTCAGTAAAAAAAGATCAGCAGCATAATAATAAAGCAAATATGCAGATTTTAAAACCACAATAAAAATTATCAAGTTTAATATTTTACAGTTAATTACAGCAAAAAAAGTGGCTGCTTTTAACACAACTTACAGTTTAAAATTACAGCACTTTATGATGAATTCTACGATTATTTTTGAAAAAACACTCAAAAATACCACCAAATTTTAAAGGTGCCCTATTAATGACTAAAAGGACCCCCCTCCCACCCCCCAAAAGACCAAGTAGTCATCTGCAGCAACCCAGAGGACCAGCTGAGGTTTCTAGACTGCTGTCTGTATCAGAGGCCAATGTTGGATCTGTTGACATTGAAGACACATCGTTGACAGATGACGATGAGGATGGATGTGGAGAGCCATTGATCATTGCTGCACCTGTGCTATGAGAAACAAAACAGCAAATCAGTTGCAGATACAGTTGCATGGTTCAGTACTTGCATTAGTCTGTCTCTTCCTAATAGTCTTTGCTTTCCCCTGTTTAGGAAAGTTTGAAGAGATCTGTCTCAATCCATTGTCAAAGTAAATAAAACCCGCAAGTCTTCAGTGTGGGGCCTAATGAATGGCGTGTCAAGAACCACAGAACTCGCATGCCACGACACCTGTCAAATTACAGTAAATGCTAATGGCTGAAAGTTAAAAGTCACAGACAGAGACAGTACTGCATAAAGCCAGAGCTAAGAGACCCTACAAAACGTTGAGACCCAAAGCTAGAATATATCTACATATTTTGATGAAGAAAGAAGGGGCCTGCTTTTTTCCCCATCAGATCCTCCCTTCAGGCTGGGAAATAGCTGAGTGTGGTGTCCAGCCACATCACAATCTCAGACACGCAGTGATTTTTCAGAGCCTGGACTTCAGTGAACTCTGAGCAGAGTCAGCAACAGCTGTCAAACTTTGGCCATCATTTTTCAACACTGCAAATGGAGTCCTACCAACAGTCAGTTAATGGGCGTATTTTGCTCCCAAAATTCAGCAACAGTTTCTGAAAGCGCTCAGTAATTTTCCAACCCAGAAATCCTGTTTCATTACTTAATAGATGTAAGTAGTGGTTATATCTTTATTTGAAACTGTACCAGCTACACACTACACATCTGATATCAGTACACAGAGTACCAGTACATACCAAGATGTTTCTTGAGGACTGAAATGAATGATCAGCTACATGGGAACAACAACAGAGGAATTTACCGGATTAATAAAAAGATATGTCAGCCCATACATTCCTTTCAAATAAGCAGTATCTCAAAGAGAATTCAAGAGGTTATTGGTCATTTAAGAGCTGTATTTTTGAGTTAGGTTACTCTTGGATGCCTTGTCCCTCTGACCTACAACTCAACGTAGCTTCATACTGTGCTTTTATTGTAACCAACCTAAAGGGGCTGGTTGTCCGCGTATAACCCCATTCTTGGTTCTCTCCTCCAGGTCCATGACTTCCTTGTATATCAACTCTGAAAATGCAGAGAAGGGAAGGCAAAAAATGAACGTGCAAACCCAAGACTGGATCGATAATACAGCTACTATTAAAATGTACACTTAAATTTCATAGGTTTATTACTGTTCAGAATTAGTTTTGAACAACAGGCTGTAGGCTACAGAACAACTGGCACATGACATGAAATGTGCAATTCTTTGCTATAATGGCCTTGCACTCTCAAGAACACACTGACATTGCTCTAAGACTCTCTTGTCCAGGCTGCTTGGGAACCTGAGGTTAAACTGAGTCTTAATGACCACTCAGTGTTTATCAGTGGCTTCTTTGGTACAGATAAAGTCGATCAATAGTCTTCAAAGGAAAAGGCAGGAACGAGTCCAAACAGCATTGCCATCCTCCCGACACAGAATTTGCCATTAAATGACCTCAGCAACAACATCTAAAGGTCCAGATCACCATGAAATGGAATACAATATTGGCATATAAGTAGCCACTCCAAATGAAAGCAGCAACTTCATCTCACAGTTATGGGAGTTCCTCATCCTTTAACAGGTTAGAAATGCTCGTAAACACGAATCAAACACACACCCTGTGTACTGGCCAGAAGGTTTCTAGGCTAATGGAAGCTTATTACCCAGAAAAGACTTCAGCTGTGAATCTACAGAAGTAACAACAAAAGAAAAAGACTAAACATGTTAAATACAACTCATACGAACTGACTGTCAGAATACTACTTTTGATTAGTCACTGGCAAACTAATGCAACGTACAAACAGTTTGGAAGAGAAAAAGCAACAGAGCGCACCATCAGCAAGTCTGCTGATGACAGAACACTGGGAGGAGCAGCTGACACATCAGAAGGCTGTGCTGCCATTCAGAGAGACCTGGACAGGCTGGAGAGCTGGGCGGGGAGAAATGTAATGAAATACAACAAGGGCAAGTGTAGAGTTTGGCATCTGGGAAAGAACAACGCCATGCACCAGTATAGGCTGGGGACTGAGCT